ATCTAGCTTTGTTTACTTTTACTCGTCTTCAGTCTTGAGATATCCAAATTTTACTGGTTTTTCAACAAAAATCTGTCGTCTCTCTAAGGTCATTTAAAAAATTGACTTTCTACTTTCAACTTCAAACTTTGCACGAACAAAGTTCTCAATGAGATTAATTCATTCGACAATTTTAAAGTTTTCTAGTATCTCTTATCCTGAGATATAGAATATACGAAGTTCTTTCATGTGTAAAAGCAGATTTTGTTCATATATTTACATTTCCAGAAAGGAAATACTAGTTGCACAATCAACTAATTTCATTGAGAACTTTGTTCGTGCAAAGTTTAAAGTTGAAACTCGAAAGTCAATTTTTCAAATGATCTTAGGGGGACTACATGTTTTTATTGAAAAATCCTGTTAAATATTAATATTCTCAAGGATGCAAACTTGGAAAAGCAAACAATTCTCGACTTTTCTATTCCTCACTTGAAAATCGATTTGGCATCTAGAAATTTTCCCTTATGATATGCAATAAAAGCAAAAGAAATAGAAAATAAGACCTCTGTCATTTGTTCGTTCTCAAACATATTTTGAATGGCTTCATTTCAAATGATTTTATCATATTTAATACTTTAATCATGTCGATTTCGTTGACAACGTTTGTTTTTTTTAAAATTTCTATGATCTATATTATTAATATATGAAGCGAATAAATATTCGACAATGTCATATGAAAAATAATTTAAATATTGATGGTTAATATTATCGTTTTACTTACTTGATCAAGATGAAATTTTTGAAGAAGTACTTGAATAACTTCTTGTAATCGATTTTCTTCAAATGTTTTAAGATCTTTTAAATATTTTTCATAAAATTGTGTTAATCCAATATTTGTCACATAATCATCACCATTTTCATCAACCATCATAAAAAATACGAGTGCACGTACTTCCATTGTACTATTTAAAACGCGTGTTAATTTTTGCACTTTAGACTTACTTAATGTTTTTATATCTTTATCATTATCTTTTGATGAAGAAAGTATACGTACAAGACGTTCAATGATAAATGGTTGAGTATTAAGTAATTTTGATACTTGTTCAATAGATAGTTCTTCACTACCTAAATGATCACTAGCACGTCGTATAAATGTTGGTAATGATTCTTCAGGTTCATTAAGTAAGCTTTGTAATTGTATATCAGCTCTTTGACGATGTGCCATTGTTCGTTGCATTAAACTTCAAAAGAAAAAAATTTTTTTTTTAGGAATATAATAGATTTCTTTGTTTAAACATAATTACTTGCTAAAAAACCTACCACCATGTCCTGATGGTGTTCGTAAGAAAGCTGAAAAATGTGGAGTTGATTGAGGACTTATTTTGCGTCTGAAAGGACGTTTTTGTTGCATGTCAGTTGTGATAATAACTGCTGGTTGTAAGGATTCACTCATTTCAAGAATAGTATGTGATGTTGAAGGACTAAGTGTCATTAAACTATATTAAAAGTTTTCAACGTATAGACTTATATATAGTTTTCTTACCCGTCAGACATAATGCTGTGCGTAAAATGAATAATTTATATTTCTAATGACTAT